CACTCAGGTAGAAAAAACGTCATATTTGAGGTTGCGCCGCCTGGACATACCATTGCTTACAAAAACGTTAACAATTTATTAAAAAATAAAACTTATCATTTATGGTTTATTCTATAGATAGAAAAGATTATGCTAACTATATGTGTAAAAAATCATTGATGTACCTAAAACGGTTTTAATTTTATGGCGCTAGTCCACGAACTTTTTGATAACCCCTCGTATTTAATACTTGTATTTCGAAATAATAATCGTGTATTCTCTACTGAATGAAACCCTGATTTTTATCGTGCGCCGTAGGACCATGCCCTGTGCACATTCAAGCATAATAAAATATTTATTTTTGTCTATATTTCATCAAAAATAAATAAATGAAATAAAATGAATAATTAAAAATGTATTTATATATGATAAATAAACATTTGCTGAAAATTTCAGCTTAGTGCGCCCATTACTTTTCGAGAAAAACGCTTTGTCCACGATTTTACCGGACAACCCTCCTACATATACTTTACATAATTGTTTATCTCTTCCTATATTATTGTATTGTGCAATTTTCAGTTGAAAGATCATGACAGGACGTTCTTATTTCTGTTGATTCTGTTTAAATAAAGGTGGTATATATAAATTTTTCTGTAGAAAGTGTTGTAACGTCAAGAAATCTAAAACGTGTTATGAAAATATATTTCAATATATCATTAATCAGTTAATCTCAGTCATAACACTGTATACACTGTGATGAAAGCTTAGATTTACTGTCGTGTTTATACCAGATAAATCCAAACCCAATGTGAAAAGTTTTTTTCTTAAACGTTAACAACCCAATATTGAATGCTAATACGCCTAAAAGTTGAAAAGATATTTCTAAAAGAAGATATATCTTTTCAACTTTTAGGTTTATTAGCATTCAAGACGTGTTAAATATTGGGTTGTTAACGTTTAAGAAATAAAACTTTTCTTACCCTTCTAAAAGAATATAAACAAACGAGCAAAATGCGTATTATGCGACAAACATGAAATGAAATATGAAGATAACGCATTTTGCTCAGCAATGACATAATTTCTTTCATATCTCATTTAACATTAACATATAAATGTAAAATCACCACAAATCGCAAGAAATTATTCGTCAAGTAAATTGCATACATACATCAAAGAGGGCAAAAATGGTCAATTCTTCATACTAAAATACAATTTTCCATATGAGTGGATCTTTGCTTCATTCTTCGGCAAAAACATGGAACAAAGACACTCTATATTTTTGACACAACATAGTCAAGGTCATATCATAAGCATGATTTAAATGAAGGTTTTTGTTATGGGCTGTATAGCGTAGTGGTTAGTTTATTAATCTCGATGGTAAAATTGATACTGAGGATTTTTATTGCTTGGGTTCGAACTCCAAGACTACCACACTTTTTTAAAATCATACAATGATTTTTTGCAGAAAAAAATTTTACAGAAAAATTTTGTTTGTCATAATTTTATACCTTTCTATGAAAAGTACTAAATGCACAAATTGAATATGACTTTTTTACATTTGGAGTTATAGGCATTTTGCACGCTTTGTTTGCCATCTCCTTACAGTTTACACTTTATAAACATTTGAACCAGAACTTGAGCATTCAGCCGTTGAATATTTTTTTATGGCAGTGTCTCTGTTTCCATTCAACTCCTAACAGTATTTGTATTTTTTCTTGTAACCAAAATTTCTAAATCCCCTTTGCAATGATGCTGTTTGTTTGCTTTACGTCATTTCGAGAAATTTTCTGCTTTAGACAGTACTAGCAGCACTTATGCCCATTGAGCAGTGTTGGATATTTTTCGTACCAGCTCCTACTGTGACACAGGACGAAGGACAGGTGTCTGTGTCCCGCTTGATGGCTTTGTGGTATCCCCATATTTGGCTTGAATGATATAAGATACTAGATATATGAATCAAAAATAGAAAACTTTGTTTTATTACATTTTTAAGAGTGAAATACTGAAAATTATTATTCAAATACTGCTGAAAGGATGATTCTCTATAAGGCCATTTTCCGGCCTACGATAAAATCACTTAAAAATGTGATTTTATGTAACTTTAATCATTGTATTTCATGATTTTGATGTTTGTTTTTCAACATCGATCACCTAAGTCGCGTGATTTAAAGATCACAAACGGCCGTCAAGTAAAGAAAAATTTGAAGGTAGGTCTATTTACATCAAGTTTCTATGCATGTTTCTAGATGTAAATGATCAAAAATTGTTTATTTATGTCGGAAACATATCAGACTTAAGTAATAAGTGCAAAGATTGTTTAATTTAAGGCTAAAGATATTTTTTTATGGCAAGAATTTTGATGCATTCACATTTTTCATATTTTGAATGTAAATCTTTACAAAATGCACCTCGTATGATGTTGAAAAATGTTTAATTAGCATTTAATTATAAAAGTATTATTTCATATATGTTTATATGGTAATTGTGTGTTGTTTCTATAGATGTGGTACCTATTTTACGCATAAAATGCCCATGCAAGAAATGAGATTTCTAAGTTTCTATTGAACTATAAAAGTTGTGTATCAAATGTTTAAGGCATTGAATGAATTTTATTTGTGATTAAATCAAAATTAAGTTGTAATTTATAAAATGTAGTCTACATTTGCCAAAAAAATAAAGAATTCATTAATTTACAGGATGAAAATATTAATGCAAGTACATGTTAATAGTCAGTATAAAACTCAGAACGGTTGTATTAAAAATATATATATGTCGACGTAAAATGAAATAACATCGTAAGAGTTGCTTTGATTCAATTTAATTACGCATGTAAAACAATACATTTAATTTAAAATGCTATCTAAACTATAATACACAAATGTATGTATAAAAGTCGAGCCCCCCCCCCCCCCCACGGTACTCCATAAAATGGAGTAGATTTTCAACAGTTCCTTCCACTACGCATATCAGAAGTTTTAGTATATCCATGGACTAACAGAGTTCTACAACATCCCAGGTACAAAATGGACCGTAAGAGATGACACTCCTTTCGCACTCTTGAAACCTGAGGATTAAATTCTCTTTCCGTGCTGCGTCAAGAACTAAGGTGTTTAACACGGGTAGTGACAGTTCCTTTGCTAAGTCCTCAGCATTGAAAGTAAAAGTCATGGGTCTTTTGGATATTATCTTAAAGAAGGAGGTCCTGTCCCACGGTAGGTGTTGGTCAATACTGAAACCATGCATAAATCAAAATTGTGACACTTCACCTTAAGTGGATGATCTCTTTATCTGGGTGAAAAATTCTAAAATGACGTAAAGCAACATTCAATTATCAATCACGTAACATTTAGGAACCCCTTTCCTCCTTGGCGTTTTATTTTCTAAGACAGAACTACTGTTCTCATAACTTATATTGATGCTACCAAAGAAGTGTGATGAAAAGAGTGAGTCCTCTCAACACCCAGTTAACAAAATACATGGATCCTATGTCACTCATACGGAAAAGTGTCCTTCTAAAAGGTCGAGGCGAGAATTTCCATCATGAAACCATCCCATCAGTAAATCTCTATCTATAAAAGTTACATGTGTACCCATAGAAAAATTAAGTTTATAACACAAATAGCAAATGCATCTTCCCGCTACAACAAAAAATAGCTTTTATCATTTCTAGAACTAATAACAAATATGCAGTACTCCTAAAGAAATACAAATACAAAGAAGTAGCATAGATAAACTAAACTATCCTTATAAATAATAATAATTATAATAAGTAACTTATATTCATGCCTTATAGTCTATAAAAAAATTTCTTTATTTCTAGCAGATAGTTCAATGAGACTTGTCTTCACGTAATTTTATAACAACCAGTCATTTCAGTCCTTTGATTTTAGATTTTTTAAGTAAAAAGATTACCTTTTTTGAGTAAACATGCATGGCTTATATTAATTCTTAGTAAATCAATAGAAACATGTACTCTAAGTGAAAGTTTATTATAAGAAATAATCTACATAAGCTGATATCCTTCATTGTGAGTAGTTAGCTTTTCCTGCAAATATCGTAAAAATGAAGCGAAAAGTTTTTATTTACATTTCATAGCCACCTTTAACCAAGTTGATAATTTGGTAGTCACTTTTTATGTTCATAAGAAGTTTACATGCAAATTTTGGTGTTGGTTAAAGGTGGTTATGACATGTGTAGGAGTTATCTAACACACCAACCCTCTTGAGTCTTCCCATTACCCTAATGCTAATACGGACCGATAGTACCTTACTTTGTGACCCTATATCATAACAAACACTTTTGTATCATTAACCAATCAACATTTGTCATTAAATTGGAACATTAGCCTACTGACTCATGCAGTTTTTAAGGGACAAAATACTATTTGAAAATTTGAAGTCACTGTAGGCCGCAAAACGGCCTTATAGAGAATGATCCTTTGATCGCAAAATAGAGGAAACTATTGTCGTTTACTAATTATTGAATTAGAAATTCATATAATGAGTACACGACAATTATAATTGTCGTGTACTCATTATATGAATTTCTAATTCAATAATTAGTAAACGACACTATTATGAAATATTGTTGCCAACGACCACAAACTACATTTTGGAGTTGCAAAGAAAAGTATGAACAAGTGAAAATACACCAGTTAATATTTGTACAAACGAAAAGAATATTGCTAATTATAAACGTATTTTATTATAGAAATTTATAAAAACGATTTCGTCTTAACCCTTGACATGTTCGTGTATTGTTAGGCTTAATTGATGTTGAGTTTAGGTTGTATAAATGACTTTATGACGTCACGAAGAAATGTGTTTATTTAATGAGGTTGACGTCCCAGCATCACGCTTCAAGCTTAACAGTATGACGAGGCAAGGGTAAAATAATTTGTAAAATATTGTGCGGATCTGTGGTAAAATTTATGTTAAGATGCACAAAGACGTGTCGTGAAAACATATCCTGCGGCCCCCATTCTGCGTGTGTTTCTCAGGACAGAGTTGTTAAAAGAAATGACAATTGTATGTTGTCATATTCTATAATTATTCGACACCTGGGAACGGGATGTATATGAATGGGACTTTGTCTTTGGTCGTCACACACTCAAGAACATTACAGCTGGCGGTGCGTGTCGGTCAACAAATCTGCTGATCTCTATAAAAAAAAATTGGATTATTGAAATACAATTTGTGTGCATTAGGAATTTCACAAAAAAAAAACCCACAGTTGAGAAAGATGAGGATTGTATTACTTGTAATTTATCTCTGTTCTTCAGCTGTTAATTTTGGTAAGTACATCCTTTGTGACGCTTTTTCCTTATTCTTATACAGTGTCTACATAAAAATCATGGAACATTTTACGAAAATCGGGAATTATTAGAATTTTATGGTGATATATATATATATATATATATATATATATATATATATATATATATATATATATATATATATATATATATATATATATATATATATATATATATATATAGACGGGAAACATATAATTTGTGGCCTCTATCGAAAAAAAAAAATCACGAAGTACAGTTTTGTGATGCATCGTACTTGCGCATGAACAGCATACATCTTGCACGTTTATTTCTTGGAAAAGGGGGGGGGGGGGGGGGGGTGACGAGGATCTTGAAGACATTTGTATATAAGGGACCTTTCCTGTATAACACAAGAAATGATCTATAATTTTTTTTTTATTCATGATTTGTAATAAACAAAACCTTTCATTTTTGAAGGAAGTACATGCGATGTAGATGATTGTCAAGAAAAATACGATGAAGTCGATGACGTCATCGGCAGAGTTCCAGCGCCAAGATTTGCTTGCAGGTGAAGAATATAATTGTGCACCTCTTTATTGCTTGTCATCATAAAAGTAATGCTATGTCTTGAGCGCGTGTATGAACACCCACCGCCAGGACAAGCGAATCGTGATATGTTGTAATGAATGTACATGTGTAATATGTAAATCGTGTTCGGGCAAATCATGCACACAGTCAGGGAATTATAAGTTATTAGAATCTTCAGCATTAAAAAAAACAACAACAATTCAATCAATTTTGGCATGAAATATTTAATTGTTTATGTCTATGGAATAAGACAAAGACGTTTAAAGTAAATTATAATATACTATTAGAAAGAGTTTACATCCTTTAGTTTTTGACTTAATTAATATCTTCTGTCGAGTTTTAGCAGCATTGTTTACTTTTTGATACAAATGATTATTTTATGATATAAAATGCCAAAGCTATCAACATAAAAAAAAAAACAAAACTAAAATTCGTACAAGAAATAAAACGCAGGAACCTAAAGTATATAGAATATTTCCTTGTGCAAAGGATAAATGTTAGGCTTTCAAAGTGAATTATCATTTAGTTCAAACAAATAAATCAAAGGGATGGTTTCATAGTGGTGTAAAAAAGGTCCATTAAATTGTTATTGTGATAATTTGTTGAAAAGTGCTAGACTTCGGAAGGTTTCTTTAGAAAAATGGTCTTTTTGGTGTTTAATAACTTGTACCCATATATAAGGGTATTTTTCAATTGATATGTTTTATAAATATTGATAAATGCAAGTTGTAATGTTTCTAAACGAATTATGAACAATTAATTTAGAAATTTGCCGTTCTGCGCCAGTGACTGTATAAGAGCAGTTACAATATTCTGAAAAAAAATTTCTAAATCAAACTTTATTTATTTACTTCCTTGAAAATATCAAGACTGAATGACTGATGTATACAGGGCCATGCAAAATTTACACAAGACTTCGTAAATCTGCAATCTAAATTTTATTGTACTGTTTATCACTTTCCAACTAAGATACAATGAAGATGGCATTGCTTTGTAGTGGAATATGTTCATGATTCCTTTTCTTTTTACTTCTAGGCGAGACAGATAAAACAATGTGCATATGACGATGTACAGTGTTTTTGCATTTTCCTCTTAACAGTATTATGAGGGTTACTTTGTGCGCAGTGGAGATCTTCGATTTTAATTCAGTATTTTAAAAAAGAATTTATTAAATGAATATGAAATAGACAACTTCTACGTATGACTCAGTTCATAACCTAACTTGGTTCCTAGGTATTATAGTTCCTGTTACACTGCAAGTGTGACAGCGTATGTAAATGTCGCAATTTTTTGGTTAAATACCACAATGATAGGAGAGTGACATTTATGACCTGTTATAATTTTTTCTACGTTTTGAGATTTTATAAAGAAATATTCAATTTAGAGTATAGAAAGTGTTTTTTTTTCAAAATAAATAAATAAATAAAAAACAAACAAACAACTACAAAATGTGGTTTAAGTTTCCATGGCTTTACATATACACTCGGCAGTTGCAGGGGCGAATCCAAGATTTTGCAAAGTGTGTTAGGTAGTGGTGGTGGGGGATCAATCCCCCTTTCGATTTTTTTCTGAGCATCATTTGAGAAAAAAATCATTACATTGTAGAACAAGTATTTAAATATACATGAAATAACATTAAATCTCGTCGCAGCTTCATTTTTAATGAGACCAAAACCCAAATGTCCAGGAATCGTTTCTGGAATTCAGAATTTCATATTTGTATCACAACGATAAAAGTTAACGATGATATGTTAATTACGAACAAAATCCAAAACTATTGTATTTAAACCGCTTGTACTTGTAACTGGTAACAAAATAGGGAGTCTCTTTACCCCCCCCCCCCTCCGCCCGATGAAATCCACCACTAGGTATTAATGTTTTATACATAACTTGTTGATAGAATGATGTGAAGGACGTGTACTTTACCGATAAGATTTAAAAATATTTAATAAGCGTTATAAAACAATTTTATTGTGTTGTTTTAGTAATTTTATTTGTTACAAGGATACGGAAACAGAATTTTTCTCCCGCATTTTATTTGTGTTTGAACAATACTTATCTGAAAGGTCGTTTTGCATTACAACACAACAGATATTTGAAACAGAAAGTCTCCTTGTAGGCACATAAGTGATTACGTTTTGGGTTGTTCTGACCATCTTCCTTCTTTACATGGTCAGTCATGCGTTAAATTGTGATATTTATATATGTCAAAGCAAACCGTGTTTCCCCAAAAAGATCGTGACCAAACTCTGATTGTTTCTTTCTGTTCTAATGATATTGCATGTGCTCTCTGTTGAAGAAAAACAAAAAGATTGACATCTCGTATATAAATAATCTCTAGTTGTATGAAATAAAACTATACTTACATGTATAATAACAAGCTTTGCGTCTTCGATATATTTGTTTTGTGGTCTAATTTTCACAGTGATGTGTTTTTCAATTTTTTTTAATGGATTGGTACACCAAGAATTTAATTAAATCTGACAGATAGAATTCATTATTTTTCATAATTGATGGTCATTGGTGGAGTAGAGTCGGTGACATTGAAATGTGATGTAAATGAGTTGTTTACCCATGTCGTAGAAGAACACACTACCTTAATGTTTAATGTTGATGTACTAGCCAGATAGGATGAAAGTCAAAATGCCTTCAGGATAAAGAGAAAATGACACAAGATATTAAAAGAAAAATCACCCACGATTTCTGGAGTCATTGATTTAATAAACGCTAATCAGCAGAAAGAATTAACTTATGAAAAAGATAATTGTTTTTGACTAGGCTTCTTGACTAAGCTGTTAAAAGTAGTTTTACACCTTGATCTCAACAACAAGTATTCTCTATGGAAAGCCAAACATTTAAGTTGGAAGAACTGCTATAGCGTGTGTATTAATAAAATAAAAGCAAAAAGAGAAAATGTGATTTTTTAACATATCTTAAGCTGTACATTTTGTGTGATCAATTTAGAGGGTACAGTCGATGTACAAGGAATGTTTCCTTCTAGGTAACTGATCCCACGTCTGGTTTTTCTATAAGGGACATACTTTTGTCTTGCTCACAATAAGTATGGTTGACAGGATTTATGATATTGGTCACTGTTCGTTATCTTCACCTTTTTCATTTGAACATTTTCTGTTCGTAGAGTTGAATTGATAAAATACTGGCACCTTTAGCATAATCATCATTATTCTTAACGATATCAATGCTTCATATGATCTGTGTCAACCTCTCGTGGTTTCGTATATGTATGCAGTAATACAGATCGTGGACCTTTTTCCTCTAAACAAATATGATTACATTTAAACAGTATAATAGTAAAACATAAATGAACTTGAAAATATAAGCGTTACTATGTAGTCCCTTTTTATAAAGATGGGTCTAAGTAAGCCCTCTTTTCTTTGAAATGAGGACACTGGGGTACTTGTAGTACGAAGACTACTGTTCTTCAGCAGTTATGTTTTGCTGTTTTTGTTTTGATTTTTTCACAAGGAATTAATTTTGCGAATCCTTCATATGAGATGTTTCCTATTCAGGAGATCTTCATGTTTGTGTCAATGCAATCTTGCAAAATTATACGAAAAATAAAATTGCTAAAAATTCAAAATTGGCAGTCTTTTTATAAAAGCATGGGTGTTGACAGGCCCGTAGGAAGCAAATTCAGTGGGGGGGGGGGGGGGGGCACGGCCATACATTTTCAGTCGACAGTTGAGGGGGCACTACCAAAAATTTCCTGACAAGCAAAAAAAAGGTCATCAGACGTTTTTATTAAGGGGGCACAAGCATATAGTATCTATGTTTACTATAGTAATCTATATATCGGCAAAATTATTGGGGGGGGGGGCACGCCCCCCCCCGTTCCCCCCCCCCCCGGTTCCTACGGCCATGGTTGATGATTGAAAATTAGGGAAAAAATAACTACAAAAGTATAGAAATGTTAATCAAATATATTTAGAAAGGATGTCGTGTGCAAATTAGTGGACATCTATTCACGTATGTTATAGGCATAAAAGGCACTTAAAATTAACAATTATGTTTGAAAATCGACATTAAAAAAAGTTTTATGTGAATCTGGAAAAAAAATTATGTACACGTAATTTTCTTGTTTTATTTTACCTTGTTTTATTTAATTAGAGGATTTATTTATTTCCAATACGAAAATTACATTAGATGCTGAGCCGTTTTCTGGCAAATGATTTTAATAAAAATGAACATTCTGATGAATTTTTCTCAATTCCCTTTCAGGGCTCTAAATGAATACATAGAATGTCTTGCAGACCAACTAGGAGATTGTCCCATTCCCCATAGATCTGCTATACAGCATGTAAAATCCAGGTGGACAAAATATGTGAGCACCTGCAATAGTGTACTGCCATTTCAGGACGAAGACAGCGGCGAGACCACCGTCACTGTGTCAGTCCAGAACGGTGTGGACCAGGTCCGAAATCAGTTAAACGGTGCTATTTTATTGCCACAACCGGCACAACCTAGTCTTATACAGAGATTAGTCAGCAACCAACCACTAACTCAAGATAGAGTACTTGGAAAATTGGCCGGTGGAACAGGGGGTGTGCTGAATAACATAAAGGAAATTGTAAAAGAAACTGTTGATGAGGTCATTGATAGTTCGAGGGAAATTCCAGACCGTGTTGAGGATGTTATAGAAAACGTTCGCGATATGGTCATTTCCAAAATAAACAGTGCTCATCCAATCATTCAACAACTTGCTGACAAAATAGAGGAGAAAGTAGATGAACGTGATGATTCAAAAGTAGTAGATAATGATGACGCACTGAGCAAGGAAATAGACAGCACAGAAAGTGAGGAAGATTTGATTAAAAATTCTGAGAACAACAGTGTTGAGGAGAATTTTGACAATGTTGTTGACTTTCTGAATTACCACTTATCGGCGGATGATGGACATATTAAAACAGATTTAGAAGAGAAGGACAGCAATGAGGTAGAAGACAGTCGTGAAGGTAAGTAAATAGACTCTTTAAATGCATATGTAAACTTCAAAAATGTATTGTCTAAATTTTTGCATATGCGTGAGGAAAGAAATACCGTAGAGACGGTACAATTAAATAATTAAGTCTACGAAATAAGAAAAGTATCAAGTTTATCAATTATATGTGGGGGGGGGGGGGGGGAGGGGAGGAAGAAGTACACCTACTTAAAAACATTCAATGGTTTTCCAATAAGATAAACTAGCTTGTAATGAAATTAGATAATTGCAAATATGTGGCCTTCGCGTGTAAAATCCATCTAAGATAGCAAAGATATTGTGCATACATGGAACATGTTATTAATCTTTGACTATTCTTTTAGACATCGAAGACGATACTGATGATAGCAACGATGTAAGTAAAGATACCGATAACTCACAGGACCATGGCAGTGAAAGTAACGAAGAAAACGCAAGCACTGATTCCATTAAAAATATTGATGATTCAGAGGAAGATGGCGACAGTAATGAAAACGATGATTTTGAGGTTTCACTCGATAAAGACAATGATAGTAATTTACTTGATGTCCTTACTGATGTTTATAATTCGGATGAAAATATCCTAGACACAGATGATTCAGATGAAAATGAAGTCTCTCTAATCAAAGTAAATAGTCAAAATGACGATTCCAACGAAAATGATAAAGATAGTGAGGATCTTGACAATAGCGGTGATGACTCGCATGAACATTCCAAAGAAGATCATGTTGAACATGACGATAGCAACGAAAATGACTCTCTAGACAGCCACCAGGTTGTTGAGGACAGCGATGAAAACAACATTCAAGACAGCAATACAGATCTTAGCGATGAAAATAATGGAAATGACAGCGATGAATACGACAATCATGAACACAGTGAGGATAGTAATGAACACGATGAAAGCATTGAAAACGACAACATGAACAGCGATGAAAATAACGACAGTCATGAACACGGTGATAGCCAGGATGATTCACATGAACACAGCGAAAACCGAGATGATTCACATGAACACGGACATAGCTCAGACGAACATAGTCATCTATCAGTTCTTACAGGTGATGTTTTATGGAGTATCCTTAAAGTTAACAAGGAATGTCCTTGCATAATGACTTAGTTGAAAATAGTAACAGAATGCCATTAAGTTGCAAAAAGATGTGTCATTAGCAGAAATATGTTAATATAAAACTTGTTAATGTAAAACACTCCCTTGATGTATGCAAACACTATTAAGTTTGCAGATTTTATACACCGATTTGCAATTTTGTATAGTGAGTATAAACCTCAAATTGAATCCTAAATGTACAATAAAGTAGCTTGATTAGAAATCAAGAAATGGGTGAAGAGTATAATTAATTTTATAAAAATTTATTTCAATTTTAGATCCATCAACGGGCACTGCAAATATAGAGGGTAATTCCCGCCGTAGGTCTGGTACCGGAGTGGGCGGTGTCCATCAATACAGCTCACTGGGAGGTGGTGAGTAATTAACCTGAAACAATAATTTTTAAAAAGAATTTACACCCCGCCCCAACCCCAATAATTCGCCATCTATCATACAAATCAATACAAAAAGTAGGTTCCAAAAAAAAATACGAACAAAGAAAGGAACAGAATATTACTATAAAACGTGTTCAAAAAGATTTTAGTTATAAAGAAAATTCACATGATTTAAACATAAGTTTGAGAATAGTCATCAACAATTTTTTTAATTGGATTCTCTAAGTAAAGCAAATAATACATTTTTGATTAATGAGAAAACAAGATATTTCTTAATGTTATTAAATCATGCAAATTCATTGCTTTTATTGTATAACATTATTGTGCAATTTACATATATTGAATCATTGTCCATTGTTTTAAAGACAGATTACATAGCATTTAAGACGACTTAAGAAAGGGGTGAGATTTTTTAAGAACATGAGAATGATAATATTTTCTGGTTTATTGAATGACGTAAATGCTCCAAAACAAGTGCATTTCTTTATATTACGTAGCATATGGATTGGGCATGATCATAATTTGCATGTCTGACAAAAGATATAAAAATCAATACAAAAAGTAGGTTAAAAAAAGCCGATGAAGTGCAGCCGAATGAAAAAAAAGGGCATAAATATGAAGTTTAATTTTTATGCCGATTAATTACGCGTGTATTTGGAGATATAGGTTTGGTACATTAGCATTATGTTGTTTTTATTTCATAAAATAAACATTAATTTTAGGTTTGGTACATTAGCATTATGTTGTTTTTATTTCATAAAATAAACATATCTGTAAAATGTTGTTTTGAGGGAAGGATACTGCAATAATTCAATTGGGACTCGAAATAATTTTTCTGGGACGCATCGAATTGAACTTGGACTCAACTTTTTAATAACCTTGAGTTCTGGTACTTGAGATAACAAAAACTTAGTGTGTAAGGGGTGGGGTGGGGGGGGGGGAGGGGAGGCAAAAATTAGTATATCTGCTTTTAGGAGACGTGGTGTTGACAGTTACAGAGTAAAGTGGTATGCGCAAGATTAAAATGAAAATGGGGGTAAAACGCTATTTTGACATGTATGACAATGTTATATTGGAAATCTATCATCCGTAAAATGCACTATGAAAAGAGGGGATTATATTCTGCTTATTGGTGAGGAGGTGTTGAAAGTTGCAGAATAAATGGGCATGAGAAAGATAAGATTGAAAATGGGATAAAGCGCTAGTACTGACATGTATGATTAATGTTATTTAGGAAAACTTCATCAATAAACTGCATTATATATGTGTGACAAAGCTTTCTCTCATTTACTTGCAGACGACAGCTCCGGGTCATTTATTGCGCCGTGGACGACACTTCTTGTTTTATGTGTTGCCTTGGTGATGTAAACAAGACAATTTTTCCTCCAAATCCTCCATTCATTGTGCCATATTGCAGGAAATAGTGATGACCGTTTTGTGAAGATGTTTTTTATACTACATGTATTTCACGTGTTTGTATTCGACTGTCTTTTGATGTGTTTGGTGCTACATTTGGACAAATGCTTTCCGTCTTCTGTTTTTATATTTTTGTTATGAAATATTTTAATAAAATTGATTTTTATCTCTTACTTTCCGTATATTACTGTGATAAAGTTTTTAATATTTTATATCAAAAGATTTATCTTAATGATTACCTTTGAATAAAATTTTTGCATCATGCCTAAAAGAATATACATGTAGGCATGTAATAGATGCAGGGGGTTGAGACCCCCCCCCCCCCCTTTCAGTGATTTTTTTTTACAAGTGTCACTTTAACAACATATTGCGTAAATGAGACTCTATCCAAACCCATTGTTGTGTACCAGAGGCCTTTAAATCGCTTTAATCCGACGGACAAAACGGGGGGGGGGGTAAAAAAAGAATATACCCCCAGTTTTGTCAGTCAAAGAGATCCATCGGCCTGTCTTTTGCACAAAGCGTGAAAGATACAGCAACTAGGCCTACGTATCAAGAAATTTCTTTCCGCTTGAGCGCACACAATACATCGGGAATCAACAGTATAGAGGGTAGTTAGGAGATCATGATCTAGTCCGTGCAGATAGTGATTGACACAATGTCATACACCAACAACCAAAACTGCATAGTATCGGAATTGTTAGCTCACCTGAGATGAAGGCTCAAGTGAGCTTTTCTGATCAAAAAGTGTCCGGCGTCCGTCTGTCGTGTGTTGTCTGTAAACTTCTCACATTTTTGACTTCTTCAGAACCACGGGGCAAATTTCAATCAAATTTGCCACAAAGCATCCTTGAGTGAAAGGGATTTAAGTATGTTCACAGGAAGTGCCATGCCCTCTTTCAAGGTGAGATAATTTAGAATTAGTGAAAATTTGAGAGCATCTTTAAAACTCTTTTCAAAAACCAATGGGCCAGAAAAAAATTAAACTTATGTGAACGCTTCATTACATACTATACATTCAAGTTTGTTCATAAAATGACCCCTTTGGGGTATGGTGGGGCCACAACAGGGGATCAAAGTTATACATTTGAATATAGGAATTATCTTTAAAAATCTTCTCAAGAACAGCAAAGTCATATTTATACAAAAGCATCCTCAAGTAGTGTAGATTCAAATTTGTTCAAATCATGACCCAAGGGGTAGGTTGGGGTCACAGAAGGGGATCAAAGTTCAACTTAGGTATATGTAAGATAGGAACATCAAAATCATGATTAGTCATACATTTGTATGGAAGCATCCACAAGTAGTGTAGGTTTAAATTTGTTCAAATCATGACACCCGGGAGTAGGATGAGATCCAATGGGCAATCAAAGTTTTACGTACATTGGAATACATCGGAAAAATCTTTAAAAGTCTTCTCAAGAACAGCAAATCTATGATCAGTCATATTTATATAGAAGCATCCTCAGGTAGTGTAAATTAAAGTTTGTTCAAATCTTGACCCCCTGGGGTGTGATCAAGTTTTACATAAGAATATATAGGAAAAGAATCTGCCGATGAGGAACAGAAGGGCCATAGTTATTGGGATGGGCGTTGTGGCCCATGGGCCTCTTGCTTTGGTATAATTGTTTGAATTATGCCTGAATGTGAAGGGATATAGTGGTTACAAAAGTGGTTGTTAAGTGTTCAGAACTGTTGCCATGGATTAATTAAGTACAAAAAATACTTTATCAGACCCATATTAAATTGACAGTTTTTTCCAATTGCATTTTAGGCGAGAGAAATTTAATATTTAGTTTTACGGATTTTTTTTTCTCAAAAAATTTGGGTAGGAGGATGGGGAAAAAAAGAGACAGCTAATTTTTATCATTCAATTAAAATTTGATTACACCTTTATGTCTTTTGCCATTCATTGCAATTTGTGTTGCTGGTTGACACATGGAATTCGTCATAAACATTAAAGATTGACTTATAAAATATCACATACAAGTGTCAATTTCTTGGACATGCCAATTTACAAATGGACAAAGTTTTCAGATACTCAAAGAATATCGGTCGTATAATGAAACCTTAGCTAATACTTTCCAGTATCTGCATAGGTACATTTCTCAAAGACCATTAGTCTTTAGGGCCTTGTTATCATCTGTCGTGAGTAATATACCAGCTATCAAGCTGGTGACACAAATTACTTTTGAAGACACAAAATGTAGGATATTAGGCCTTTCAAAATCTGCCAGTACCCGGTACATTTTATCCGGCTGAAATTATGTATCGGCCAAAATATTTGATGGAAAAAAAATTGATAAAATATTTAGATAAAATCACTTTCACTAGGTACATCCTATTTTTAGTAAAAGTACTACCTGTTTTTAATCTTCTTGAAAGCCCTGGGGTATGAACAGAATGAATCAGAAATTGAACTTGTGTGTGCAAGAAACTAGCTATTTTTTTCAAACAGAAAGGATCATCTAAAAAAAAAATGATTTTCACAAAAGCATTACCCATATAATGATCACAAAATTTCATCCATGTATAAAGGAGTAGAATAAACAATATGTATAATTTAAATTGCATGTAAATACGGCAGGGTGTATCAAGTAATTACTTTTATCCACAAGTCCTAGGTAATGTATATGCAGTAAACATGCCTAACAACTTCGATAATCTGATCTTCATATCAAAATTCCATCAAACTAAATCCAAAGAGAATAAAGAGATTAACTGAAGACTGTGCATAAGGTGAACTCATTATGACAGAAGCCTTACTACGTACCTTACAGTACCAGTAAATAAGAATAATTGATAAAATATTTATATTTAATTTTAAGCTTTAAAAACTTGTGATTTCTTGTCCATGCAGATGGAAAATTAACTGGTTGCTAGGGAAATTTCTTTGACCAGGTTTCCATAGTAACTATGTTCCAAAATATTTTTTTTTATTTTACATACATGGATCATAGTGCAAGAGAAATCTATGTGTAGAAAATCATTGAATTCTGAGAATCTAAGTGTATCACTTATAACACTTTTGCATGACTTTTACATGGACTGGTACTTGCAAACCCTCTCTACACTTCACACTGAAGAGTTCTGATTTTGTTGTATTTTTCTGCAGTTAGAGTGATCTGCTCTTAGATCTAAATTCAAATAAATTGAAATCTACAGTGCATTTCTAAATTTGTATTCAATTCAATCCATGCAATCATTCTTAACATTTTAAAAGGTCAAGATAAATTAACTGAACACTTCATTTGCATATATTTTATCCACTGAAGTGAACAAACGGTGATTTCGGTTCATTGATATTTTGTTGTCTTTGAACACTTTTCCTGGGGGTAAATGCCACGTACCATATTGAAAAATTATATAGATAAGCTCAAAATTTACACCTATATACAATATAATTTTCTCAATGTCCAAAAAACATTTTGCACTAGTGAATAGAGGGTCCTTAAACTACATGATACATCCAACCGATCAGCACTTAAGTCATAAAAAAGCTTGATACAAGAAAATATTTTATTGCAGATTTAGATTTTTAAGACCCCAAATATGATACTTTTTTAGTGCAAAAAGGTCACTCAAATATCCTTGCGTATTGATTTCCATGGTAAATACTATTCAAACTATTTTACCTAAAATAAGATTTATTGCCATTACTACATCTGGTCAAAAATGATAAGGGTTAAAAAGATTAACATAAGAGTTACAATTTAAGTTCAAAAAGGTCAAGTTAATTGTACCATTGTTCAGTGAGATGCACACTGACCCCCACTTTTCTTTGCGATTTTGAGTCATGCTATATGAGTGCTTATCTAAAATTATACCTGTCAAGAAATCCTTGAGTGACATACCTTGAAAATTTTTGGAAAAGTCTCATTTTTCATGTTTAAGTAAAAAATTCCCAAAATGTTAATTTTTTTTTAAAAATTCTTGAGGATTTGTTTTGGTCTTGAAAAACAACTAATTAAGAAAAGGTGCCATTCAGAAAGAAAAAAAGATAACTAATTCAATTCAAAATGCTCGAAAATGCACCATTTAAAACCATTTTCAACAAAACTTTCTCACCCACCCATGGGAAGGAGCACCATTTTACCCTTCCCTTTCCGCCCTTGGGGCCTCAAGCCCTATGATACCAAAAGAAAAAAATGGATGCTTCGAGTGATGTATATTTTGGGCCTATTTTTAATTGTAAATGATGCAAATATTAAATTTCTAAAACATAAAGAAATTGTAAACTCTATAAGATGTTCAAAATTCTACCTTTTTGTCGTCCCCCTTATAAATCTATACAACTTTTTATCACTTTGAAGGACATTAGTGTGAAACCTTGAATGAAAATTTAAAATCTATAAGGTTAGAATTATTCATTTTACCTCATAAACATGGTCTAGAGATTATTTTCATCATTTTTTAAAAAAGTTTTATCATCTGTCCTGATGTTCACAAAATTATAATTATTACAATTTATAATTAAACAGATACTCTTTAAATGAGGAGATTCTTCTTAAGGCTGATTTACACGGTAAAGCAAGCTGTATAAACCTTGTCGTATACAGCAAAATGCTACCGTGTGTACGGCGCCATTACACGGAATTTAAACCTCACCGGAACCAAAGCGTTCGGATACAGCGTGTCTCTGTATAGCAAGCCGTATTAGACTTATTTTCTCTGGCCAATCAGTGACATGGGATTTAGGTGATTTATTTTTGTGCTTCACTGACCACTTCAATTTTATAAAGAATACTCCATCTTCTTTATACGTGTACATGTGCATGAATTATGGTGCGTTTCAAGAAATAAGCTACTCGGAGCAAGGAAGAAATGATTTAGTCATTCTTTATCGAGGGGAAAGTGTCCCAAGAGACATAAGTACCGCAACTTTTCTAAGAAAGATTTGACCATTCACGGTAGCTCAGTCGGTAGAGCGCTTGAGTTCGAATCTCGGCCGTGACTGACCTAAGTCGATAAAAAATGGGTAGTAACTGTTCCTTCGCCATGCGCTCGGCACTTTGAAGTGAAAGTTGCGGGTCCTTCGGATGAGACCTTAAAAACCGAGGCCCCGTATCACGGCAGGCGTTGCCACGACAAAGATCCCTCACTGCTCTCCTGAGTGCCGAGTAAAGGTAAAAATTAGAAGCCCTTCCCCTGTATATGGTGACGTCTCTATATG